GCCTAGCAAACAGGAAATGCCTGTGCGGGCTGCGCGGCGGCCGGGAGGCGCAGCGCGCTGAGCCGCTCGCCCGCCGGAGCCCGCCCGCCCGCCGGAGCCCGCCATGGCCGCCTCCCTCTGCGCGCTCGCAGGTGAGCGGAGCCTCCCCCGAGCGCGGAGCCTCCTCCGAGCGCGGGGCTGCGCGGGCGCGGGGCTGCCGCGCGTCGCCGCCGTCTCCCCTTGGCGCGGGATGCGCCGCCCGGGGTGGCGGCGGCTCCGCGGGGACGTGGGGGCTGCCCCCCCAGCGCGCCTCGGGCTCCTGAAATTGCCTGGCAGCCCTGAGCGGGGGAAAGGGGTGCGGGATGATGGTGATGATGGGTGGCGGGGAAGAAACACGGTCGCTGGACCTTGCTAGCGGAAAGAAGTGCCGCTGGAAACTGGCTTATTTCATCGGGACAGCTGTGCGCCTCTGGCTTTCCGAGGTTCGGAGTGGTGAAAGAGAAGTGAGGAACTGTTAACTGCACCCAGCTCCCTTCAGAAAGACTGGGAATCAAATATATAACGTTTCCTATTAGGGCTTTGTATATTGTTGGAGATTGTTCTTCTTGTTAAGCAAAACAGCAACGCAAATGCTGGAAGTAACTGTCCTTCATAGCTAGTGGTTGCATTTTGGATCTGAAGTCAGGGCAGTCCAAGAAGTCGGAAAGAGGTTAGGGCAGCGCTGAGGCTCATGTGCTCCCAGAGGCTGGTACTGAGCTCTGCAATAGCCCTGGCGCTGGCAACCAGGGCACGCTGTGACCTGAGGAGGGCTGAGCTGCACCAAGGGACACAAACCGGTTCCTAAGACCAGTCAAAATGCAAGTTAAAGTGAGTAAAGGAAAAGCAGGACTACGTGGGGCTTTTATATCATGCCTGTCAGGCAAGACAGGATACAGGAGCATGTGAAAATCTGAACGCAGCACTTGGTCTTTCTGTGCTTAGCCCTCTTTCACTGATAATTTACTACTTTTATTCCACAATGATATTCTCCCCCAAATATGCTTTTGTTGGCTCTGCTTTACAGAGGGGGCTTTGTACAGCAGTAACAATCTGGTGTGCCACAGCTTCCTCCCAGACTAGCAGTGTTGCCACCGCTATCACCAACAGCTGATTCATCAGTAAAGACAAAAAGTTGCATTGACAGATAGGAAGACACCTCAAGGGGGTCCCAGACAGGAAGACACCTCAAAGGGGTCCCATCCAAATCTTACTTCTTTTTTCTTTTTTTTTTCTCCTTTTAAAACTTGCTATGAAATAGAATATACTTGAAAATCCAAGGGGACACTACATAAGACTAGAACGAGATTCAAATTGTCTCTGATAAATAAGACTAATGGTTCTAAATAAACAAAATCTCRTTCTGGCAGGCATAAGCAGTGCTATGCAGGAGGTGTCTTTCTGTATTTGCAGTACTGATTTCTGTATTTTCTGTACTGATCTTATTTTCTACTTGGTGAAGCCTCTGGCAGTTTGGTGGACAGGAAGGCTAATAAAAGATATTGACAAACAGAAGAGGGTGTACAGAGTGACAAGCTTGATAAAAGTCAAGGATATATAACTGTGAAGAAAGGATGAAGGAATTGGGTTTATCTACATAAGAGAAATCTAGGGGCAAAGAGAGTAATGCAAATATGCATCATTAGGGAAGTATAACTATCTGAGAATATTATTCCAAGGCAATACATGCTTCCCTTAGTGAGACAACTCATTCACGACTTTTTTCTCTCTCTGAGTTGCAAATGCCAGCTAATAGGACACTATTTAATAGTTGCTTCCCTTTATTCATCAAAGGGCGAGTGGAAATCTACCTAATTGCTATGCAGAAAGTTTAGTCAAACTTGCAGTAGAACTTGCTCACTCTTCAGGTAATGAATCATTAGACTTGGGGTTACCTACCAGAACTGCATAATTAACTTCATAAAAACTTATAGTGAAGGAGGATAAACACTTATCAGGGATGATTGAGGTTTATTTTGTTTCACTTCAGTGTAAGTGCTAAGACTAGGGATCAACTGAAGTATCTCCTAGTCCTGTAGATCAATAGATAGGAAGAAAGAAAACTCCCAAAAGTTTCATTAATGTTTTAACTCCCCTTCCATCTTTTTGTTCTCAACTCTTTCCCTTCTGCTGCTGATGTTCTTGTTGCTGGTACTGATCAAGGGTACTTATCCTTGTCTTAGGAACACCTTCCAGCGGATTTCTCTCCCACTAKCATTTCTTCTGAATTGCATACATTGGTTAACAGGACTAAGGTATCTACTAATGAATTCTAGTTACAATGGCTTAACACCAGGTTAGGAGGTATTAAAATTACTTTGTCTCRTCTAAGATGCGTACAAAAGCTTCTTCATAAAACAGCAGATCAAGCCTTCCCTACCACAGAGGAGGCCCCAAACTCCTGAAGAYCTAGGGCAGTGTCTCATAGGTTTTTAAAACAACAATACTGCAAAAATAGCATGGCAGGGAAATTTTATGAATATATGCTGTCAGTATTTTACCTTGTCTTGCACAGTGCTTAAAGTCTGAAAAGAGATGCTAAATTGATGCAGGTATTATTATCTCAAAATTTATTTTTTTTTAAATGATGAAGGGTAAGAACTCCTGGGTTCTACATGTAATTGCAGTCTTTTACCAAGACAGGAACAGAGCAGGTAATTCTGAACTTCTGTGTTAATACTGATACAGGATCCACTTGTTTTGACACTACTGAAATCAAATACATATTCCTCTTTGGCCTCACCAAAATTAGCATGAACTTTCAAACTTAAGGTTATTCTTAAATCTTTGGATACGTCATTTCTTTCTTCTACTGCTCATTCTTCAACATTTAAATGAATAACAACGAATAGAAGCTACTTTTTACCAGAGCAGGGAARGCATCATCATCTCAAAAATATTTTTCTTTTTAAGGCAATGATAGTCTTGCTAATKGAGGATAGCATCATTCAAGCTTAAGGTTGCTACAGTATATTTGGAGATCACTTTATGCAATTGTATTAAAARCTTGTGGTCCTCTGTTTCAGAAAGGGCCCAAGTGCACTTTAAAATGTCTCTTTCTACAAGAGTCAATGTAATGTTGTTTGCACATTTTTGTTTTAATGTATTTATCCTTGGCAGTAAGTTACCTGCTTGCATGAGCTGAATGTCTGTTGTCTGCTGGCACTGGATGCCAGCTTGAAACCTTTATTTGAAATACATAGCATCATAAGAAATGTGAGGCTGCATGTAAGAAGTAGAAGACTGGAACCATGATCAGAGAAAACTTTGTAATTGGATAGTAAAAATATGCACAGACATATTAATTTGAAAGGTTAATAGGCACTATGGCTAATTTCACTTGAGAGAGTAGCCTCAGGTTTACCTTTGCAATTTTACAACCATAAAGCATTTACAAAATGCTTTTACCGCATAGCATTTACAAAAATAAATGACAGTTTTTTTAAAAAAAAAAAAAGCTACAAAATATTGACACAAAGTAACAAGCGTACACAAGTCCAAATTTAACAAACAGCTATGCACATGCTTATATTATTTTCCCTTGGGTGGTCCTGTTTCCTTCTGTAAAACCATGMAAACAGAGTTAAGCGTGTGTGTTCACAGGAAGCGAGTCTGAGGACTCGTAAATAAATCTTCTTATGCAATATGTGATAAAGTTGTTTGTGTATCAGTATTGAGCTTAGAAACACAAAATGCACGTTATTGGACCTGACCTGTGGATAGTGTCCTGTCCCTCCTACAGACCTGTGCTCCATAATTGAAACCTATACATCACAATGGCAGATATGGGATAGGCTTTACTTACCATAGTGCTATATCCTATTCAGTTCTTAACCTCTAAGCCATTCTATGCCAGTCCACACATTATTATTATTATTATTATTATTATTATTATTATTAAAGAAAAAAGAGAACTCCTAAGCTTCTCTGTTAAAAAAAAAAAAAAAAAAACTTAAATTTGCTTTTCTATTAGCAGACTGAATATACAGACACTTCATTTTCTCTATTCCAGGCACCATTTTATGTGCATATTTTGGCACATCAGCTTGTCTACTTTTTGAATTAAATATTTTCTATCCTCTTTTCATATGCTTTTCAGTTCCCCTTTTTAAATCTGCAACATTCTTTCTTCAAAAGGGGTGTCTAGTATCATATACTGTATTTCAGAAGAAGCAGCAATGTTGATCTATATGGGCATTTTGACCTATATGCATTTTTGATCTATACAGACATCCTATATATGACTTTGATTTCTGGTAGGTTGCACATTGCGTATTGCTAATACTCAGATTCCTCATCCGTGCAACCATCCATGAGCTAATCTACATTTTAATGATAACTACAGATTTTTTTCCAATGAATATTACTTACTTTTGTTAACCTCAATGTGCTTAGCTGTCTCTGAAGCTTCTCTCGAGACTTAACTCTGAAATAACCTGCAGGTTCAGGAAGCTGCTCAAGTTTTCAGTTGTTTCAGTACCGATTCAGGGGGTAACTGTAGCTAGGCTGTGTAAATAGGATGTTGTAAATTAACCAAAAGCTTCAGGCTGAAKTTCATTTCTGGTTCTGGTTCAAGCGCAACGCTAAAATATCAGTTTGGCTCCGCAGCCCGCAGGGACGGGCGCGGGCGACGGTTACCGCCGCTCGCAACGGCCGTTGGAGCCGCCACCGCGCATGCGCCGGCTGCGCCCGCCGCGGTGCCGGGAGGCGCACTGCGCATGCGTGTCGAGCGCGGCGGTGCAGGGGAGTGAGTCGTGCGTGGCGCCGTCGCCTTTTCGGTGGGGCTGCGCGCATGCGCAGGGGAGGSGGGACGCCTTTGGGCTGGGGGCGCATGCGCAAAGAAGGGGCGAGAAGCCGGTGGCCTGTGCGTGGCGGAGCCGACGCGTCGCGGCCCGGCTGAGCTCAGGCCTCGCCACCGGAGACCCGCCGGGACCGGGTAACCGTCCGGGAGCGCGTTGGGGCCCGCCGGGACCGGGTAACCGTCCGGGAGCGCATAGGGGCCCGCCGGGGCCAGGGGTGAAGCCGGGAGCCAGGCCCGGGCCGGCCGGCGCGACTGCGGGGGAGCGGAGGGCGCGGCTGCGCCGGGAGCCGTCGGGATGCGGCTGGTGCGGAAGGACCTGGAGAAGGACAACGCGGGGCAGGTGACGCTCATCCCCGAGGARCCCGAGGACATGTGGCACACGTACAACCTGCTGCAGGTGGGCGACAGCCTGCGCGCCTCCACCATCCGCAAGGTGCAGACCGAGTCGGCCACGGGCAGCGTGGGCAGCAACCGCGTGCGCACCACGCTCACGCTCTGCGTGGAGACCATCGACTTCGACTCGCAGGCCTGCCAGCTGCGCGTCAAGGGCACCAACATCCAGGAGAATGAGTACGTCAAGATGGGTGCCTACCACACCATCGAGCTGGAGCCCAACCGGCAGTTCACGCTGGCCAAGAAGCAGTGGGACAGCGTGGTGCTGGAGCGCATCGAGCAGGCCTGCGACCCGGCCTGGAGCGCCGACGTGGCCGCCGTGGTCATGCAGGAGGGGCTGGCCCACGTCTGCCTCGTGACGCCCAGCATGACCCTCACCCGCGCCAAGGTGGAGGTGAACATCCCACGCAAGCGCAGGGGGAACTGCTCGCAGCACGACCGGGCCCTCGAGAGGTTTTACGAGCAGGTGGTGCAGGCCATCCAGCGGCACATCAACTTTGAGGTGGTGAAGTGCGTGCTGGTGGCCAGCCCGGGCTTCGTGCGGGAGCAGTTTTGTGACTACATGTTTCAGCAGGCGGTCAAGACCGACAACAAGCTCCTGCTGGAGAACAGGTCCAAGTTCCTGCAGGTAAGGGGCCAAACCACCTGTGTAGTAGATGATCACAGAGGTTTGGGAGCTGCCTGTAGTAATGGAAGAGAGTTAAGAGGAGGGTAGGAAATAATTTAATCTCTAGAGGACAGAACTTTTTCTCATTGTGAGAAAACTGTTCTCTCAAATTTTGGCCTAGGTAAGCAGGACAGTGATGTACTCTTTCTAGAAGAGCTTGAAGGGGAATAGAGAAAATGCTAGATATTTGACACCTGTACTGTTATTCTCTCATAATGTGGGACATGCATGAAATAAGTTTTCTCAAACTTTTTAAAAAAGAAAAATATTGAAGAGTTTGGGTGTTATGTAGGTTAGTTAATACTGCTGCTAGTTTTGCAGTAAATGGCTAAAGATTATACAAACAGTACAGTAGCTTTTTCCCCTGTTGCTTAGTTGTCTGAGTGTCTTATTTTCTGTTAAAAAAAAAAAATAAAAAAATCAAAGCCAGCACAAAAAGTAGAAGTTTCTTAGGGCTGTTGCTTCTGAATTACAGCAGGGCTGTAATCTAGGCCTTCCAAACTATGGAGGGTGTCCCCATATGGGAGGAACACAAAGTTAAGGAGTCTTGAATTGTATAGAAACCTGTTTCTTAAATTTTAGCAAAATGACAGCAGAAAGCGTGAAAGGCTTTTATGCACACAACTACATGACTAGTATGTCTGCAGACCTCTTTTGAGGGGTATGGCTTAATGCTTTTGCACTGTATCTCTGCAACCTTAAGAGGTCTTTCTCTTTTCAAATACTTAAAGGCTAAAGAAGACTTAATTTCTCGGTAGAGCTATGTGGTTCTTCCTGCATCGGGGCTTTGTACAGTACCTTGCTTATATAAAGAACTTTTTGAGTAAGAGAAGCATCTTTCCTATACCTCTTAAAGTACTAAGTTTGAGGAATTAGGGTTAGGTTTGGGTTTGCAGAAGAGGAGCTCCCCTGGGAAAAGTCATTTGTGTATCAAATGAATGCTACACCTATAATTAGCTAGATAAATATTATGTAGAGAGGAAATTGTTTGTACTTGGTTAATCAAGAAAACGGTCTTTTTGTTTTAAAATACATACCTCTAACTGTGTTTACTGTAGGTGCACTCTTCCTCTGGACATAAATATGCACTGAAGGAAGCCCTGTGTGATCCAGCTGTAACTAGCCGCCTCTCTGACACGAAGGCAGCTGGTGAGGTCAAAGCCTTAGATGACTTCTATAAAATGCTGCAGCATGAGCCAGACCGGGCTTTTTATGGTCTAAAACACGTGGAGAAGGCCAACGAAGCCATGGCTATTGATACGTTGCTGATCAGTGATGAGCTTTTCCGGCACCAGGATGTGGCTACCCGCACTCGATACGTTAAGTTGGTAGATAGTGTGCGGGAGAACATGGGCACGGTGCGAATCTTCTCCAGCCTTCACGTGTCTGGGGAGCAGCTGGGGCAGCTGACGGGGGTGGCTGCCATCCTGCGCTTCCCTGTTGCTGAGCTCTCTGACCAGGAAGATGAATCTAGCTCCGAAGAAGATTGATGCTGACTTCATTCCAGCCTTATTTTTCCCCAGTTCACGCWGAAAAGACAGCCTCCCTTCCTGAAGACTGTGAAGATGTGCCATGACATATAATTTAAGCTTTTTTTGGTAGCATTTCTTAAATCTCTGTTCTAAAGGATACCTCTTCTATGACAAATTATGGATACATGGTGGTTTGGAGCTGATTGGTTTTGCAATTTACATACTGGAGTTTCAACAGTGCAAGAAATTGATTTCAATCTCAAAAGCTGTTCTTCTTGTGTATTCATGCAGATTGGCAATTCAATTTTGAAATGTGTAGGAAAAGATAATAAATTAAGAGGGAGAAACACACCAAATTGTCTTTATTTCTGTGGAGATCTTTTTGTTTGTTTTAGGTGTTGATTTGTTTTTAACATGCTGGCAAGTAGTATTAAAATCTTAAACTTCCTCAGCAGTGATCTTTACAACTTCCAGCTTGATCTTCTGAACTTCTTACTTTCCATTTCTTAGGAAAAGGGTAGAGGAACGTGATGAATGTCATRTCAGGGGTGTCTTTGGTGCATGTGTATACTTTTATACTTTGGAGRTATTTGAAGCTGTCTTTCAGAAATTAGACCTTTTATGTTATTTCTTCCCAAATATAAAAGCAGATGCAGGACAAATTGTGGAGCTCAGTAAGCTCACTTGAGATATCTCTTAAATGATGATTTCTTGGAAGATAGTTCTGAGGGCTAACAAGCTATGCTGTTTTGCAATTGACTTTTTCTAATGGGGTTTTCTAATGAGGAATCCCAATGGCATTAGGATTATTTCCTCTCTAGTTCTTCAGAACCTTATCCATACAATTATGGTTTACCAAAACCTCCTTGTTTTCTGTTAGGAATCTTTTGACCATAAATAGTTCAGATAATTTCATAACCTGTTATTTCACTACCGATGTAATCATTTACTCATTTAAAACTTAYAGCTTGTAGGGTTGTTGTGTTTATAAAACTGTAATTTATATATACACACACAGAGTACTGAACTCTAAAACTGTCTTGCTTTTCTGGTTGTTTAATATAACAAAAGCACTTGGAGAACTATGATGCCTTTTTTTTTCTCCAGTGAACATTGTATGTTACGTTGAAGAAACACAAACTGTTGACAAGATTCCCCTGAAAGGGGATTGTTTAATTTAAACTCTGAGTTGATGGTGTAGGTTATGTGTGTAAATAAGCTATAATTTGTTTAAGTTGAAGGACATGAGAGTTGCCAAAAATTAAAATCAAATTTAAGTAAATTTAAGTCTTGTGAAATACAGACAAGAACTGAATGATAACCTTTTTTTTTTAAAGTGTTTTAAAGCTTTCAGTCTAGCCAGAATAACTTCAGAAAACTTTTATAAAGATGCTCCCATGATGCTGACARTATCATGTATTGCTAAATCATCCCTACTGAAGCTTTAGTCCTAACCCCCTGATGAGGAAGGCTTTTTGAATTAAAACTGTTCTTGCATCTTGTTTTTCACATACTATTAGTCCAGCTCTAATTCATGTTCTTTTTCATGTTCTTTCCACGTGTTCTTTTTCATAGACTCTAAGGTTAAAACTGTATTACAGAAGGAAACTCTTTAATTTGTTTCCCAACAAACTAAAAGAGATATCAAATGCTTTAACTTGGAATCTTATTAATTCTAGATTGCAGAATGGTTTGCTTTTCTTTTGGACCAACTTGAGCCAAGTTATTCCATTTAAAAAAGGAACGGTGAGGAAGTTTTGCTGCAAATTGTAGGAAGGTTGCAGTAACTATTCTGTAAGTTTTTATTTGTTACAATAGAAAAAATACAACTTTTTATTTGATATTTAAGGTATAATGGAAAGTATTTGGTAAGAAAATGTCTTCGTAGTGATTTTTTTGAAAATACTTATAACTGTCCATTTTTTTCTTTTTTTTTTAGCTAGTATTATCATTGTTTTAAGTRTCTGAAAGAACTATATCTAGTTGCCTAAAATATGGAAGGGTGGGATTTTTTTTTTTTTTCCAAGCACTTCTGTAGTAAAATAGATGCACAATCATTATGTAGACAAATGCATCCGGTTTCAGGAAACAGCTTAAGGGCTTGGTTTTGAAAGGAGCCTGTGCTCAGTACTGCAGATGCTTGACCTGGCAGAATTCCCGAGATGTCCATATCTTTTATATTTAAGGGAATCTTGAATGACTTGTAAAGTCCAGATTGGCAAAAATGCTTCTGTCACTTCTGTTTGCAATAGCACCTACAGAGATGCGTATTATCTGCAGCTTGAATCAGTAAGTGCTATAGCCATGGGAAAATACTTTTCTTGACCTTTCTTTGGAAATAGACGTATTAAATGATAAACTAAAATCTGTCCGTAAAATTGAATGCTAAAGAGAATTGTTCTCCTAATCCTTAGGTCTTTAGTAACTTCAAACAATATCCTAATTTKTGCTTCTGTTTGATTTTTGATATAATTGTGTGGATTAATGAACTTGTTTATCTTTTTTTTTCCTTTTTCAAAATAAATAGCTATCCCCTTATTAATATTTAGAAAGTTTTATGGAAAGGAAACTTAAAAAAAAAAAATTGCTTGATCCTGAAGTCTGGTCTGCATTTAGCCCCAAAGATCCACTGATTTAGGTCATAGAGCTTCTCTTGCAACCTCATACTTTGGAGCAGAGCCAAGTTTTCTTAGTTGTGTCACATCTGGCATTTAAACCCAGTTGTGACTATATCATTCTTTTGGGGAGTGTTTATGGGATAAAGTTCATTGCAAAACATACAGCCATCACAAGCAGTAGACTAAAGAATCTTCTTAGCTATATAGCGACATAAAATATCAATCTCTTAAATCTGTAAGTACTTCACTTGACCTGGGGAGTTCCCTGTCTTCCTCCTTCCTGCATTGCCTAGTGTAGGCTATTATAGTAAAATACTGCTAATAAATGATCTTGCAAGAGAAACCCACCTGACCACCTGTGTTATGCAGCTTAATTTGTGATGCACCTGGTATGCTATTTTTAAAGCCATGTAAATGTCAGAAGTAATTTTGATTGTTTGCCACTATTTTCTTAAAGCTTAAGTAGCCCTGAAAGCAAATTTGGTTCCCCTTTGAGGATATACTGAATTTAATTTTAGGCTGCTGACCTTCATTTGCCATCTTTTGTGTTACAGTTACCTTCTCAGTTATCTTACCTACAATTTGAGCTTCTTTAAGTTTTCTCTGGAAGCTGCATCATCCATCTGGAAATTGTTTGGTTCTATAATGGCAAGCTGGGAGGTTTCCTTTCCTCTAAAGTTTTTGTATTTCTGTTTTTAAAGAAAATAAGTCTGTTTCCTATAACACTAGACGTTCTGTTTATGGAAAAACATGTCCTCAATTTTTTAATGCTGTTTTATTCCCAGCAGCTTCTGTGCACTGTCAGGTCTGTTTCTTCTACACAGGATTTAAGAAAGTAACTCGCAGAATGTGAAGCTGCAGTTTTAAAGCCTGCAATTAAGAATCCTTGTTTATAACTAAAAACTTGAATCCTTTCCAGATAAATGAAGAATAATTTAAAAAATAAATAAAAAGAATGGCTTCAGAAATCCACTTAGCTCCATACTTTTTAAATAAGGCAAAACTGAAGATATTTTTTTAATAGTCTCATCCACTCTATATCCACCTGGTTTTACATTTTAAGAACTTCGTTCTTAAGGATGAGGATTGATAGAAGCAACTGGTAGATCAGAGAGCAAGAAAAAACGTTTCTTCATCAAGCTCTGCTAATGTGGGGAGGTTACAGCTCTTGTGGCCTTTCCCACCTAGGTTCTTATTAAATCTGCACCTGCAAACTTTTGAGATATCATTTAAGTAACAGGGCTGTTTGCTGCTGGGGCNTTTTTTTTTTTTTTTTTTTTTTTTTTTTTTTTTTTTTTTTAATTTTAGTTTGCCTTGCTTATAGTGAGAATGGTAGAGAGAAACATGACCCTATTTGATTTTGAAGCATCAGTGATTCTCTTATAAAACAGCCATAATTTGTGTTAAGATAAAACAGCCGTAATTTGTGTAAAGAGGCTGTTGCATTCAATTTTTTTGTAGGGAAACAATATTCTACTACCCCACAACTCTGCTAATTTAGATATAAGCAAATGCCAAAGTGCTTGGATCTTGTGGTTATTATTACAGGTCTTAAGTCAGGCTCTGACGTGAGCTAAGCCTGGGCTTTTTCAGCGGTGGAAAGAGTAAACATAGGCTGTCAASTTGCTTGTGTGACTTAATAAACATAATGCTTAGTGCAGCCACATTTTTTGTACTTGACTCACATAATTCAGTGACTTTGATTTGAAGTTTAATGCATGCCTAATGTAGCTAAAGGTAAGAAATATGTCCATTATAACAACCAAGCTGTCAAACACATTCTCTCTAAACTTACAAGTTTGACTGTATTAAAAATGCAGTTTAGCTTCTCTGGCAAAAATTYTCTCTTAAGGTGTCTTAGTGTAAAGTAGAATGTGAGACCAAGGTCTCTGAATTCTTTTTTGTTTGTTTATTCTGGTGTTTGAAAATAATTCTTCCTCTTGTTCCACTGTACAAGAAACAGAGGGGAGCAGATACCAGAGCCACGCTTGCTTCCAAATCAGTGTCTTTGCTGGAAACGCAACATTAAGCAGCGACTTTCCACCACTGCCAGCTCCTGTCTAATTCTTCTGTATTGATCTTTAATGTATTGTTTTCAGTTCTGGAAATGCGATKTTCACAAGTAACATAATTATTGTTATAATACTCTAATAATTACTTAGAATTCAACTTGGAGTTGATAAGGTATGTTGTTGGAAGTCTCCTTTTCTTTAAAGAATCTTAATTAGTTGACACTAGTCCTTTTAGGAACATGCACACCAGACAGGTTTTCCTCTGATCCCTAATGAAATATCTAATGAAAGCCAAGCCTAGAACAGCAAAGGACTCATATGGGGCAAAAGACATGAAGCCTTACACAGTTCTCTGATTCATTGTTAGCAAGAGGCTAAAGATGCTTCCTTTTTTAATTGGTCTTTTCGGTAAGACCTACTCCACACTGTATAAATAACTAAATACATCTTAGTTGAGACAGCTGAACCAGAACTGTCCCACTCATGTGGGATAACTCTTGGCGTGCAGGAGATAATTAGTCACACAGACAAATACTCTGATTTTGGTAAACAAGAGTTTTTTTTGGTTGCTTACGCCACTGCAAGTCATCTGCATGTTTTACTTGCATGCTCATGTGCTAGTTTTATAATGACAGGAAGATCCTATGAAGTGTTCAGAAAGAACCAAATTGATGTTGCACTGACACCAGCAAGTGTAACTGTTCCTGATTTTGAAGTCCTGTGTCTCTGGCCTATGCAGGTTTGAAAGYGTGGAGTTTTTTTGAGTGTATGTTTGGTTTTGTTTTGCTTTTTTTAAGGAATGAGACAAGGATGCATTTATTGACTTGTCACTAAAAATGTTTAGAGCCTGAGATGGTAATATTTTGATATTGAGTGTTTTCACTTATACTTCTAGGACTCTTGCAAAACTTTCATTCTCTAGCTTACATACTTTTATTTTGACATGGGAACTGGCCAGCAATGACTGTATGCTGRAGCGTATAAAATGTCTAGTACTGAAAAAAATGAGAAGTGGGAATAGCCTTCCAGTAAGAATCAGAGCAAAAGGTCTCTTTAGTGTGGAGCTTGTTTACCCTGCAAAGTATGGCATCCACTCTGCGTTTCTGAGCCCTGTGCTCTGAACAGAAGCAGGGAATTTGGGGCTGTTGTTGCTTTAGTGGCATGTTGAGTCTGTCCAGTTTGTATCAGTCCAGTTCTCAGTGGCCGGGTTAGGACCATGCAGCTTGCAAAGCAGGGCAGAGCTCGCAGCAGGASCGGATTAGCAGGGATTGTTTCTCAGCTCCAGCAGGTTGGATGTGGTCGATTGCAGCTCTGTTACTGCTGCTGGAGATGTAGATCAGCTGTTGCTTATGGAAAGCTGGTGGCAGTATTTGATATGGAAGCAAATACTTGCATAAGTTCTAGGAGCACTGTGAAGTAGAGGTTGCGTGGCTCTTTCTGCCACTTCTAAAAGTCCTTTTTAAAAAAKGCATTCA